GCTATAAATTCACCTTAGTTACAAATATTGTATTAATATGTAAGTCGCGGAGTAAATGAAGATGATGTCGTTCATCCTGATCGATGAAGTTGTAGTCTCTAGCCTCGTCGCTTTGGGATCCTCTACAATAATCCTTTATACCTATAATTTCATCTTAGTTAAACATTTCTTTTAATATCTAAATCGAGGAATAGATGAAGATGCTGTAGCTCGTTGTTATCGTCGAAGGTTTAGTCGATATATTATGAGGAGCTTGTTGGATTGTTCTAGGGTCGCTGACGACCCCCTGGGGACTCGTGCCCCACAGTTTGAGAATCGATGCGATAGACAGTCGCCATGTCGGGTTGATTGTGCCGATGGGCGATCGCTGGTAGCGGAATCATGGATTAGAGACTCCTACCCGAGGTCAACTAGGATGAACAACGAGTTGGGATAGGTGGTCGTCGACTGATTCGAACGCAAACTCGTCTGTTCTTTATTTGCGAGCTATTTTTAGCGTGATTTTATTCTTATTTTCATTTTAGGAGCTGGATAGGGGAGTCTGGATCTCTAGGGTTCATCGTTGTTAGAAGTACTATTATATGTACTAACATACTGCCTTTCTTTGTTTGAATCTTCTGTCTGATACATTCAATTAATTGTTATGTGATCATGAATTCTTTTTTGAATCAAATTTAAGTAAGTAACCAGGTACGTTGTATGTACTTTAGAAATAAACGTGCATGAAAAGGATTAATTCTTTAGAATTTCAACCAGACCTATAATATGTGTTGTTTTTTAACATGAATATGAAAAATGTTTGGTTTTTGATCAGGTTCATATTTAACAATTTATTTTATTTCTCTCATTTCATAGATGTTTGTTTTCTCAGTGATACTGAAATTACCTCGATAAGATCTTTATCTTTTATATATATTGTCTATCATCAAAATTATTTTATAGATAAACATAGATAAATTCGTTGTTTCCCTTTCAATTTACAAGCAATTCATTCGTTTATATTTCTACACCGTGTATCCTTATTATCCTACATTTATTAAACATGAAATGACGTATTTCCTGTTTAGAAAGTCATCTATGTCTTTATTTCACTCCTAAATATTTTAAATTTGTATTTTCTCTTATTAGAATAGTTACATTCTTATGATACTTACCATTCAAACGAAGAGTGTACTTTGGTACATTCAAATCTTGCCGCGCGTTTCACATGACCTCTCAGCCGATCTCATCGTCATACTCGAAGCCAATCTACTCGTTTGTCGTCTATGGCAAGGAACTGTCAAGTGCTCGATAGTTTGGTACAGTCAGCTGATGGCAAAATGCAATTACACGCTTTCTGTGATATTTAATGAAATCGCTTGCAATTTTCTTGCGCAACTGTGAAATTCCTTGAGAGCTATCGACTCGCAACCTGCTCATCTTCTATTTGTATTTCGTGAAAGGATTTTGGCGAGGTAAATTACTGTTATATTAATACCAAAAGTAATTGTGCGACCACGTATTGATTTACGATAAATTCATGGTAGAGCTAAAGTTAACGTCAGTTGATTTAATGGGTGAATAATTTCTAAACGACGTCGTTGGGATTAACCTAAATCGGATAGTTGGGTCCTTTTATTCACCAATATTCAACATTTGACATTTATTGAGGTTATGATTATTTTGTACTTAAACAATTTCATATAATTAAATGGAAAATAAACAATATATTGAAACCACAAAGGGTATAAATTAAGCCATGTACTAATGTTATACATGTTTTTTTTACAGGTAGACATACAAGGATTTTTATACTCATTTAGATAAATCTAAACTGACAGGATCAAAATGCCTTTAAGCGCAGGTAAATATAAATTCAGATTAGTTTTAAAATATGGATTATTTATTAACAGTTTAGTCTAAGAGTTGGTGTCTCTGTATAATTTCAGACATATCCACGGCGCTCCATTTATTGGAGCATGTTCAAGAAAGAGTGGAAGACTGCGACGATCCTAAGCTACAGATGCATACAACACAGGATATCAGATCTTTAATTTCCCTACTGGAAGATCCAGTATTTCGAAGTATAGTGACAATTCAAGACTCCCTAATCGAGTTGAATACTCAGTTAGGACAACATCCGTCTATTTTGCCTGGAGATTTTGACATCAGTATCAGTGGACAATTGGAGCTCTCAGTTCCCAGCACACCAGTGCAGCCACTTGGACCAAATATGTACCAGGATTTATATCAAGATAGTAGCGAATTGGAGGACCAGAGGGTTCCTGTTGGTCCATTAGTGCACAGCAGCAGCGAGGATACTAGTGCACAAGTGAGATGCTACTTTAATAACTAAAATCAATGTTTTCTCGTTTTACTCAAAATAAGAATAAAATGTATACTTTGTTATAGGTTACAAGTCCTAGCCTTGTATCGGAGGTTATGGGAATGCCTCCAATTACAACTACAACCTATGCTAAGGAGTTCAAGAAGGTCATCGAAGCCGCCGCAAGAGGTCGCCAGATATTCACTGTGCAGGTTCGTGGAGCATATTGTACCTTATAATAAAAATGTGGGCATGAAATAGATGTAATCTTAGATGTAATAATATTCTTTTTCAGCTGTATAAGCCAGAGGGGACCAGCCTGGGGTTCAGTGTCGTTGGTCTACGCAGTAAAGACAAAGGGGAACTTGGCATATTCCTGCAGGAGATACAGCCCAATGGCATAGCAGGCTGGTAAGTCCCAACTTATTAAATAATAAAGACAATAATAGAAGTCAACAAGCTAGACAATTTAGTGCGAAACTTTAACCAAGGATTCATGACCCCTGCTATAGAATAAAACGTAACACAAATCCTATCCTGTCTTATCCTACCCTTTGATAAGGCTCGCTTGCGACCCCTGTATACTTTCTTTATGTACTAAAAACATCCCAACTCAGGAATGAAAATAAAAGTAGTAGTCGTGTCTGGGATTTCACAGCTGGAGGAACGATCTCCAGCGTCAAATTGAGTTTGATCCAATTCAGCCGTCGATTACATTCTGTCCATCTTTGACGCTAGAGAGACACAAAGAGCGTGCGCGAATATAGAAGGTATATGTATAGGTGTGGGTGGACCAACCTGGTAGGAATGATCCTCAATTGCGTTGAAAGGTCAGTCGAGTTAGCCTGGACCATAGTGCCCGAAAAGTGTTCAGAATTCGACCTGTAGGTTCTTAACTCCCTACGCTCAATTGCACCACTGTTTCACGGCTCAGTGCTGTTACGACTACGGGTCGAGCCATCCACAGGGTTTCGACCTCCCACTGAGCACTCCCATTGTGCTTGTGTGGGGGCGAGCACACGTAACGCGATATAAATTATCTCCCGTGTCTACGGGGTGAGCAATTGGGACGGGTCGTAACTCCTATTTGCTTGAAGGCAGAAAAAGATGGAGGAAAAAGGTGGATGGCGCGACAAGGTCTATCTTCCTGTAGCCTCATTTTTCCACTTCTACCGGTGGAGTACGATTTCAATTCTTTTCTGAAATAAAACCATACGATACCTCGACTTTTTCCAGGCAATTTTATTCAAATAAAAAAAACTTATGAATAGAATTCGATACCGTGATTTTCACGAATGGCATACTGATTATAATGCGCGTCCATGGCCACTTCGATGACACAGATTGATATTCATTGTGTATATAACAACGTGTGTTTAATTATTTATATCTCTGCGATTATCGAGTTATCGTAGCCAATATTTTGCACGTAGCAACAGGGATCTCTGTATAATCCACCACTCTGCAGAAGTAGGTTAATAACGGAGGGGGTTGAAGCTCCACATTGCGGGAACGAATGACAATTATTTTTTGGTCTGAGAAAGTTCTCGATGGAACATAGTGAATCGTTAGATGCTGATTCGTATGATATTTTGTACAAGGATTTATGGTTGACGCTAATTTTAAGGGGGAGTCTATTTTAAAGCAGAAACCCTTTCGATCAACCCCTTTTGTTCACCCATGTGTTACTTTTGAATTACAAAGGGTTTTGAAAAATGTTTCGGGTGATGTTGTAAAGCGTGAGGAGGCCTGAACGTTGGTATAAAAACATGCCGAGGATATATTTAATTTTGAAAACTACAAAAATTTGATCGAAATATTCTTTTTTCTTGGTGTATGGTATTAGGGGTTGTTTTATGTAGACTATAAAACTAAGAATTCCATCTTTGTTCACATCTTTTATTCGAATGATAAAGCGTTTTTATCATTAACAAATCATTTGAACTTTATTTTTATAGTTTACATTATATGTTCGATTTAAAAGACTAGTTCCTTAAGAGGAAAACTACATAGAAAACCAACTATTGAGTGTTTTCTCCTGACTTCTTGTTACAGAGAAAAATTTACTCAATTCTTTTTTTCCTATGAGAATATTGTAGGCATATTTCAAAGTACATTAGGTGATTTTTTCAATTCATTTCACACAGAAATCTTCGAGATATCAACCTTCTATCAAGCACAGTTTTAGAGTTATCACTCTCATAGATTTGAAAAAAATATTGTTCAAAAAAGAAACGCGATAACTCAAAGATTTCCGTGCGAAACGAATCGATGAAATCGACGAATGTACTTTAAAACACACCAAAAGTATTCTCAAAGTTGTAAAAGAATTCAGTAAACTTTTTTTCTGCAAAAAGAAATATCCCGAGAAGCACTTAACATTCGGCCTCCTAACTTGCTTTTCACCCTTAAACAATACGAAAAAGAAAAAAAAGGAATTACCTCCCAGCTAGATCATCCAACCCTTCCAACCCGTTCAGAGTGGGACGTTGCGCCCTCGAGAGTCACCTCTCTCCCTAACCGCGCGTTTCTCGGCACACCCTGTGCACAGTGCGTTGATCGGGTGGCTCGTGGCACGCATGCCCGGTTGCCCGTGTCCGGAAGCCTCGCCACCGTCGAGAAAACGATGCTTTCGAAAAAGGGGCCTCCCCACTTTCTCCGTCAGTCTTCGACGGTTCC